TGACCAATCACACTTTAAAAATGATTGATGGTTACTTTTTATATCTATATGATTTTAAATTTTTACATCTAACAATTAAATTTTTGGACTGATACATTATAACAATAATCTAAACAAAGTTTTTCTCTCATTAAGGTGGCTCTCATAATCATGCTCCTCTAGGTTTTTTTAAGGGCTAAATACTCATTTAACCTCTTTATTATGTCATTTTTTATTGGTTTGATACTTTAAAAAAAATTAAAATTCACAATTCAATACCTAATTTTGCATTACTTCAAGGGTTAACTTTGTTATAACATGGTTTATTTAACTAATGATAAAATGTTAGCTGTCGCCTTGTCATCGTTATATCATTAATGGATCTGCTATTGTCACGAGCTTTACTCTTAAGCCTAGTAATCGTGCGGCCTTCAATAGGAAACTGTCGTCTAAGTATGCGTAAGTTAGCCTCTAACAAAGTTGAGTAGGTGTACACACTAAAAAAGCACTTGGTGAAAGAATACAAAATCCTTTATTGATGAAAAAATGTGGCTTTATACAATTGTGCTTAAGTAGCTTGAATGGCTTACAAGATCATTAACTCTCATGTGTGTTCCTAAAGGGAGGGGGCACCCTTATTTATACATGAACCCCCATGGCCTATGTATCACTAGAGAGCCACGTGTGTAGCTCTTATATACATTCTAGAGGGTTTCAAAGCCCCTAGCCACATATAAGGTCGATTGGGCAGTCTCTAGAAAGGGGCTAGTTCTAAGCACTCTAGGGTGCACTGGTTCTAAAAGGCTTCGGGTTTCTTTGTTGGGCGTTATAGTACTTCTGCCCTTTTTTTTCTAGAGAGTGGCCTGGGTGAGGCTTATCTAGAGCCTTCTCATGCCCAATGCCCACACCATTCTTCTAGGGCTTTCTAGAAGCTTCTCTCGCAAGGACTTTAAGCTCATCAAGCAACTCTAGTAAGGACTTGTTCTTGTGGCCTCGTGCTTGGGCGAGGGTTTGGTCTTTTTACACTGGTGCTCAAGCCTTGGCCTTGATAATGTTCACGCGGGATGTGACACTATCTCATTAGAATGAAATAAAAATGTCTTAAAATGAAATTTTCCAAAAAATAAAAAAATTATATATGTTGAAATTTTTTATAAAATTTTCAAAATAAAAACAAAAAAATCAAATATCAAAATAAAAAAACAAACGTTCAAATATTTAAAAAAATTTCAAAAAAAATATTAATATGATTTTTTAAAATTGGAAATTAAAACTTTTAAAAATTTGAAAAAAATAAAATTTTCAAAACTTTTTTAAAAAATTAAAATTTTATTTAAAAATAAACTAAAAATTAAAATTTTGAATTTGATTTCTAGCCCAAAGAGTTCTTGGTCATGGAGTTCGTGATATTTCTACAATCAGATTCAAGGCTGTCAGATTTCTATCAATACAAAAAACATATAAATTTGACCAAATGGAAAAGAAAGGAAACAGCATGTTAGCAGCCTTTTATTTTAGCAGGTTGCCGCAACTCCCGTAAGCACCATTGCATAAAACACTGAGGATTAGCAATGCAACTATGTTTGAAAATATCAAAGACCTGACTAACACTTTATGGCCCCCAAGGAAACACAAGTTTAAGCTCAGATTTTTAAACCCTAAAACAAAGCTTTAAGTAGAACCCTAAACCCTAGATAAAACCCAAGACCCTAAAATACAATCTTGAAACTCTGAGCCTTAGTTAAAACTCTAAATAAAACCTTGAAATCTTCATCCACTTAAAACCCTGAGACCATCCCAAAATTCAAGGTTTTATATGAAATCATTTTGTGAAATAATTTATTTTTAAATACTACCTAAATGATAAGATATTTAAGAAATTTTATTTCATTAAAAATTTTCATATAATTTTATTTTTTAAAAAATATTAAATAAAGAATAATAAATAATAAATTAAGATTTTAAATATAAATAATCGTATCCAAATTTTAGCTAAATGTTAGAGAGTTCAGGTGGCCTATTTATATTTTAAAATCCAATTTCTAAAGTTCGCATTTTATTGTCACTTGCGTATATCTCATTTTTAGATTAATGTTTACATTTATCATGCATATATGTATGTTTATTTTAATTATTGATAATTAATATTAATTATATCATTTTTTTTCATTTTTTACTACATGAAAAGTTCTCTAAAAAATTAGTTTAAAAAATGAATAAATAAATAAAATTAAAATAATATTTTAAGAAATATAATTTTTTATACTCTATCTAGATATAGGAGAGTTGCCAATAATTATTATTGTCATAGAATATTATTTTATTTTTAAGAAAATATTGTGATAAATCTTAGACGAAAAAGATTATCTTCAAATTCTATCTTTATGTTGGAAATTTTTAAATTATTTCTTTAATTTATAGATTTTTTCAACATTTCTAAATAATTTTTTTTATTTTATTTCTTAAAAAGAAAGAGAATTATTATTAAATCTTAAAATGAAATCATTTTTATCCAAAACCAATGATAATGCATGATTAATTGATACCAATTTTATGGGCATTGTGGGGTGCTAATCTTTCTCGACGTATAACCAACTCCCAAATCCAATCTTATTTCGTAAATTAAAATTATTTTTTTAATAAACTTTAAACTTGTTTTATTATTTTATTAAAAAGATAAAAATTTTTTATGGCCAATCACACTTTAAAAATGATTGATGGTTACTTTTTATATCTGTATGATTTTAAATTTTTACATCTAACAATCAAGTCTTCGGACTAATAAATTATAACAATAATCTAAACAAAGTTTTTCTCTCATTAAGGTGGCTCTCATAATCATGCTCCTCTAGGTTTTTTTTAATGGCTAAATACTTATTTAACCTTTTTATTATGTCATTTTTTATTGGTTTGATACTTAAAAAAAAAATTAAAAATTCACAATTCAATACCTAAATTTGCATTACTTCAAGGGTTAACTTTGTTATGACGTGGTTTATTTAACTAATGATAAAATATTAGTTGTCGCCTTGTCATTGTTATATCATTAGTGGATCTGTTATTGTCACGAGCTTTACTCTTAAGCCTAGCAATCGTGTGGCCTTCAATAGGAAAATGTCGTTTAAGTATGCGTAAGTTAGCCTCTAACAAAGTTGAGTAGGTATACACACTAAGAAGGCACTTGGCGAAAGAATACAAGATCCTTTATTGATGAAAAACTGTTGCTTTATACAATTGTGCTTGAGTAGCTTAAATGGCTTACAAGATCACTAACTCTTATATGTGTTCCTAAAGAGAGGGGGCACCCCTATTTATACATGAACCCCCATGGCCTATGTATCACTAGAGAGCCAAGTGTGTAGCTCTTATATACATTTTAGAGGGTTTCAAAGCCCTTAGCCATATATAAGGTCGATTGGGCAGTGTCTAGAAGGGGGCTAGTTCCAAGCACTCTGCGGTGCACTGGTTCTAAAAGGCTCCAGGCTTCTTTGCTAGGCGTTACAGTATTTTTGCCCTTTTTTTTTTCCAAATAGTGGCCTGGGTGAGGCTTATCTAAAGCCTTCTCATGCCCAATGCCCGCACCATTCTTCTAGGGCTTTCTAGAAGCTTTTCCCACAAGGTCTTTAAGCTCATCAGGCAACTCTAGTAAGGACTTATTCTTGTGGCCTGCTGCTTAGGCGAGAGTTTGGTCTCTTTGCACTAGTGCTCAAGCCTTGGCCTTGATAATGTTCACACGGGATGTGACACTATCACATTAGAATGAAATAAAAATATCTTAAAATGAAATTTTCCAAAAAATAAAAAAAATTATATATGTTGAAATGTTTTATAAAATTTTCAAAATAAAAACAGAAAAATCAAAGATCAAAATAAAAAAACAAACATTCAAATGTTTAAAAAATTTTCAAAAAAATATTAATATGATTTTTTAAAATTGGAAATTAAAACTTTTAAAAATCTGAAAAAAATTTGAAAAAAATAAAAATTTCAAAACTTTTTTAAAAAATTAAAATTTTATTTAAAAATAAACTAAAAATTAAAATTTTGAATTTGATTTCTAGCCCAAAGAGTTCTTGGTCATGGAGTTCGTGATATTTCTACAATCAGATTCAAGGCTGTCAGATTTCTATCAATACAAAAAATATAAAAATTTGACCAAATGGAAAAGAAAGGAAACGGCATGTTAGCAGCCTTTTATTTTAGCAGGTTGCCGCAACTCCCGCAAGCACCATTGCATGAAACACTGGGGATTAGCGATGCAACTATGTTTGAAAATATCGAAGACCTGACTAACACTTTATGGCCCCCAAGGAAACACAAGTTTCTGGTTCATCGCTTTTGTTCCTCCATAATGAAATTCCTTCTTTAGTCAACCTCCTATTTTACCTTCATTTCATCCCAACCCTAATTTGTACTTAAAAACTATTTATTTACATTTTAACATTTGATTTAATGATTTATCGTGTTTTCTTCGATTAAAAAACTATATTGGAATCCCCTTAATTTCCCCATTTACAAAAAAAAAAAAAAAAAAAGCCTCCCATTTGTTTGATTTTAAATGAAATAACTATAAATCTCTTGAAAAATTATTTTTGAAAGCAAAACAGTACAAACTTTCACAGATCAAGTATCTGGATTAGATCAAACGATTAGGAGGATGATTTTGGAGAGTTTTTAATTATATATTTTTAGATTAAAATTATTTTTATTTATATAATAAAATCTTGAGTTGGGACGTGCCTTAAAAAATTCTATCAAAGATCCAAGTGATGAACAATAGACTCAGGCCTCAGGACCGATATTTTGTCGCTGGATTTTGCTACCATAGCATGTAAATAAAAACTAAAAACTAGTAATTGCTGGGCTTTGTCACAAGAACATAAATATTTTTTTATACAACGGAGATTGCATCGTGAAAGAATTATAAATATTCGATTTAAATTTTAAATTTATTGAAATGTAATTTTAAAGAGATTACATGAATAAAATGAAATTTTAAAAGAATCATATTTTTGAAAAATGCCCCAAACTATCAACATTTCACCATGCACTATATTTAATTAGTTTGGCTTTTCATTTCCCTTTCGCCAAATCATTTGATTTTGTATCCAAGAATTTATACGTGCAAAGCATTCCAATTTCAAGTGTATGTGTTCAGATTTTCAAATACAGAATTGAAGAAAAAATGGACTTTGGTACCGGAAATTGTAGATTTTTGTAAATATGAAAGAAGAGTTTTATTCATTGATTCATAGTTACTTTACATACAACAAAATCTTCAATTACAATGAAAGAATTTGTATCTTGAAATAAATGTATAAGAATTCAAATGTCATAGATTTAATATGGTAATAAAAAAACATAAAGGAACATTTTGACATTACAAAGATGGATCCTTTTAACCCTCTACATTAAGTATCAAACCAAACATTCTAGCGTCTTTGGAAATTGAACGCCTTTATGGACACTGTAAAGATTGCTCCAAAGAGTACAGCGAAACCAAGAATTACAGCTGCAACTACTCCCAGAAAATCATGTTTGAAGTCATAATAATTTCTCAAGAATTGTTCAACTGTCTCTTCGCTGTCGCCATCCAGAAGGGGGGTTTGTATGTCTCCGAATTGTGAAACAACCAATCCATAAAAGGTCCAAGCTACTGGACAAATCCAATAGTACCATCTCCACCATATAGGAATACTCTGCAATTCAACAAGTTGGAAAGCGAGAAGAATGTCAGTCCTCAGGAAGTGTATGCTAAAGATATATATCAAGAACTTGAAAAGAAAAAGTTATGTGAAAGCAGTGCTTACAGGTCGTGGGATGATGAATCCTGAAAAGGCATTCCATAATGCATAGAATGCTGAGGAAACTATGGATGCAATGTGGTAGTTTGGTGTGACAGCCACAGCCATCATGCCATAGAAGGTGAAGTAGAGTAAGGAGAAGAACATAAAGAAGAGATACCAGAAGAACTTAGCAGCAGTCCATTCAAACCCGATCATCGCATATACTATAATGCTATACACAGTAGATTGAATAAAAACGTAAGGTATCTCGATCACAACCTGCAGTTGCAAAAGTGGAAATCAACTATAATGTACTAAAATTTTGTACAACTTTCTCTACATTTTGGACTCTTCAATATGTGGAAGAAAAAAAAAAGAAAAAACTTGCCTGGGCAATGGCATATGGCATGGCAGAATACATGCCAGCAGCTTTTTCTCTATAAAAGACTGTCCTTTCAACCGCCACAACAGGCTGCACAGATGAGGCGTTTTGGAAGCCAAGGAAAAGAACAGCAGCATACATTGAACCCATTGCATTGATCAGATCTTGCCTCCTGTTCCTGTAATTTCACAATGTGACAATTAGATATATGAAGCTGATAAATACCAACATTGAAGCTTGAACCATTGTACTTGAGTTGTAGCTTACGTTTTAGAGCCAAGGTCCCAGAACAGTGTCCCAAACATCAATGCTATAACGGTTGTAAAAAGAAATCTGACGGCAGTATATGGTGGGTTGCGCCAATATGACCAGTGCTGCTTCCATAAGCAAGCTGTACACTGAGTCAAGAATGACTGAGAGTACTGAGTTGGAAAATAGAGTTCCCTTGAACCAGGAGCAGGTTTGCTTAAATCTTCAATAAGAGCTTTATTTCTCCTGAACAAATGAAACATATAAGTAGCAAATTCAAGGTATCTAAGATAGCTAGGCCATGTATAGATCTTATGATGAATTAAAGTGATTAGTTTGAATCAGTTTACACTTTTTGTTGCAATGTTGAACCTGAGTAGCCTATTACCTGTACAGTTCTGAGTTTTTGTAAATATTAGCAAAATCAACACCTAAAGCTAATTCTTGTGCTGTTGTGGTAACTTCCAACATCCAAGTTGCAGGATTGTAGCCATCCTTGATTTTGCTAACTCCTTCAATTCCCTGGAGGAAATGAACATTATAGTATTAGATATATATAGTTCATGTGAACTGAGAAATGAATAAGTTAATTAACTTTTTAATTTGTGATCATTGATTTCATCTCACCTCAAAATACTTAATAAGATGTTTAGAATGGTGTCCTAATGGCCCCACATATATCTCTTGTCCTCCACGCTTCAGAAGGAATAGCTGCAATGGCATGTCTATTTTTGTTACACAATTACATAAAGAACCAACTAAATAGCAGCAAATTTTTTTCAGGTTACTTTTAAAAAATTTTCACCTCATCAAATGCTTCAAATATGTCAATACTTGGCTGATGGATGGTACACACAACTGTTCTTCCGGTGTCCACTGTGTTCCTAACTGTTCTCATAACAATTGCAGCAGCTCTTGCATCAAGCCCTGAAGTTGGCTCATCCATGAAAATAATAGAGGGGTTTGCCACAAGCTCAACTGCAATAGTAAGCCTCTTTCGCTGCTCAGTTGATAAACCATTTACACCAGGTAAACCAACTAGTGCTTGCCTTAATGGATTCAGCTCAACAAGCTCCATGACTTCCTCGATGAACATCTGAAAATATATATTGAAATAAACCAACTTAATCCAGGCCAAAGTGATCATTAGGAAAATGTGTTATTTTGTTGGACTCTGTTGTCAGAAATTCAATCTAGATAAAATGACCTATATACTCCATGGTCAATGCAATAAAAAAGTTTATTTGAAACAAGACAAAAATTGGTAAAAAGAATCCTTTTCATTTTCAACTCAGTTATATATGTCTGTTGACTTTCTTAAATTCATCCTACTCTGTAGGCAATGCAGGGGTAAGTAAAGAGATGTTTTATCACATTCAAAACTTCTCAACTTGAATGTGGAGTTTGAGATAGAATTTTCTATTGGCTTATCTTTGTAAAAACCTCTAACAGGTGCCAAAGTAGAATAAGAGACTTGAAACAGCTTAAGGTTTCATGAATGCCAACCTTTCTGGTTTCAGCATCAACTTCTGTCGGTAGTCGAAGCCAAGCAGAATAGAGCAAGGATTCATACACAGTGACATGAGGAGAGTGAATGTCATTTTGCTCACAGTATCCGGATACTCGAGCAAATGTTTCTTGCCTCTTTGTGAAACCTGAAACTGTGATGTTCCCATCGATATAACCACCAGTTTTTCTGCCAGCAAGCACATCCATCAGAGTGGTTTTACCAGCACCACTAACACCCATTAGAGCCGTGAGAACACCTGGTCTGAAAGCACCACTAACACCCTTCAATAGCACCAATCTATCTTCAGCGACACCTTGCTCTTTCATTTCCTACAAAGTCTCAATTCAATCAAATAAACTCTCATATATCTGGACCTGATTAAACTGAAACAAGATACAATCCAACCACCGGACATAGATGGTATTTGTACATGGAAAGTTACGTTACCAGTGGCATATCAACAGAATAGATAATGTCATCAAATGTGATAGAATGTGGCTCAAATGGAAGAACCATTCCCTTTTTCTTGTTGCCTATGGCCCCAACAGTTGCCTCAGTCATAGATGAGGACTTAGAAGAGATGCTTCTTTGAATGTCATCTTGATTCTCTGCATGTCAATTAGATTTAGCATTATACAAAATGGCTTGTACACAAACACACTGACACAAATATAGATGAGCTATAATACCTGATTTAGTTACATGACTTGAGCTACTTCCATGGTTTGATAACTGAATGCTTCCACCAACTCCAACTCCTTTGGCTTGTTTGATGCTTTCAGGTTCATCAGATATTACAGCCCGAGGCTTCTCAAATGCTGCATATTTATTTGACAAATAGTAAACAATTAGCCCCCCTTCCAAAGATGCATAAGTTTAAGCAGGTAAAGCACTACTCACAGTTTAGATAGGTAAGAGCTAGAGTAAAACAAAAGTTGAACAATAAATTGAATCCAATCAATCCCCCTACTCCGATCCAATACCAGCGTGCATCTTGGAAGAAACCCCTAGACTTCAAAACTTCAATGCCCAGTGATTCTGTTGAGTTCGGAAGAACCTTCAATATGAAAGCAAATATAAAAGATCAGCTGATTGTTAGGAGATAAAAGCAGAATCATAGACATTGCAAATTCAAAATATTACTCGTCTCCACTGGTTCCCAAGGAACTCATTAACCATCATTGCATTTTGTCCATACATCATAGGTGAAATCCAGTAACCCCATATCCACCAACTCTTTATGTCCTCTGTCTCATTAAACAAGGTAAAATGGTTAGAACTGTTTAAAGTTTAATTTTCATTTAAAGTTTGATTCCTGTTCTGTGTCTAAGACTTATCATACCTCGTGACAGGACAAAGCCACCCAATGCAAAAAGTACAAGCAAAGAAAATGTCCCAAAAGTGTTAGCAACAATCATGTTTCTAGCTATAGCTGCAATGCAACGAAACAATCCTGAAGCCATCTGATTAACGAGAACGAGTAAAAGGTATTGTCTAAACAACCTGCGCCAGACAAAATTACTTGCACATCAATTTGGATCAGAGCTAATAAGCAAGCAACCATGTATATAATAATCAAGTTCGCCATGAATTTTTGTTGTCATTTCTTTTTTTCACCTTTCAACATTTGGATCAAATCCAATGACATAGTAGGTAAGAAATACCCATATGGAAACTTCTACAAATGTGATTGGGATCTTGAGTATCCAAGTTGGTAGAGCATATGCCCATGCAGGAAAAAATAGGAAGTCTCTTTGCTTGTAAAAGACGGGAAGCTTAGCAATAGTCATAGAAAGCTCAGCCATCCCATTGAACATGAGCATAGTCAAGCCAAAAAACAAGGCCCCCATATAGATTCCTCCACCTTCAACTGAATCTCGCTTCATCTCAGTCCTCAGAAAGAGTGTCATGGTAATTAATGCCATTATTGTGAGCTTGTAGCAGAAAGGAAAAGAAAAGTTAGTCACAGTCATATGAACCATAATAATTGTGGTACAAGAATTAAATATCATTAGTACGCACTTGCGTAAACTTGAAGATGTAGACGAAAGAGTTTCTCTTCATCAGCAGATATTCCCTTGAGATGCAAGCTTCCAGCAACTCCCGCTTTCCAACACCATATTTTCTAGTTGTTAAAGCAGCTGGGTGGCTCTTCGTTTTTTCAAATGGAGTTCTAAGTTCATTGCCAAGTTTCATTCCCACATGGGATGATTGGTATGCCTCAGCAAATTCATTAGCCGTGATAAACCTGTAAGGTTGATCTCTACGTACCCAATACTGCATTTGATCTTTCCTGGATGTAATCTGCAATGAACAAAGTCGAGTTAAATGTGATAGAAGAGCAACTTTATCCCAATGAAGAAAGGAACAAAACCTCTGTCAAGACTTACTTCTTGCAAGAAGTCAGCCACACCTTTTCTCTCAGGACACCTAAAGCCCATAGATTCAAAAAAGCTCAGCACGTGTTCTCGAGGACCCTGATATACTATTTGGCCATCAGAAAGGAGAATAATGTCATCAAACAAATCATATGTCTCTGGAGCTGGCTGGAGAAGAGAGATGACTGCGGTTCCATTAAGGATGTGAACAATTTGCTTGAGGGAGTTCACAATTTGGAAAGTTGTAGAGCTGTCCAGACCAGTAGATATCTCATCCATAAACAGTGCTTTTGCTGGTCCAACCAGCATTTCACCTAATTGCATTGACATAATTACATTCCACGATATAAAATTTCGTACTTTGGTAATGGACTTAATGGTTTAATTGATTTCATGAATTACCTGTTGTGACACGCTTCCTTTGTCCTCCAGAGATGCCCCTTAACATTTCATCTCCTACCATAGTGTCTGCACATACATCCAGTCCTAAAATCTACAAAATTTATGGCAACGGTATTCAATAAGTGTTTAGTGCTCCTTTAATATCTTTCAGTATACTTCAGCTTTCTCTAACATTACCTTTAGAATATAATCTGTGACTACATTTGCTTCCTGACCTTCGGTTGCTGCAGCCTGCAATTTTAAAAATCACAGTAAATCACGATGAATACAAGATTCTCTATATGGAGATTTCAGTCAAATAAAATTAATCTTAATTTGAATTCCGTTTCTGATTTTCAATCCATTTTATTTCCCATTGTTATGAACGAAAAGACAAATCCAAGTTAATGAATCGGCTTGAGTGCATGGAACATGATTTCAAGCGACATATGGAACTAATTTTACAGGACACCTGAAGCAGAATCCAAAGTGAGATGCCTTCTGCCTTGGGAATAAAAGATGTCCATATTTTACACTACAATGGCTTCTTAATTCTTACCTTCATGAAGACATCAATATCAGGATCAGGTTTAATGTTTGCTTGTTTCTCTCTTCTTGACAACTCTGCTAACATCTCTGTACTCCAAAACAACAAAATTTCATGCTTTGAAGAATAAAAAGAAAGAAAACAGGTAGATTGTTCCAAAAATATATATTATATGTTATGTTCGGAGTTTGGACCAAAAAAAGAAAGTCAAAAGAAAAAATCGAAAGTGTGGAAATCAATCAAACTTACCATAACGCGTTCCAACCCCTTGGCATTTTGCAGAAAAGGCCAAAGTTTCCCTCACAGTCATTTCTCCTATGTGAAGATCATGTTGACTGATATAGGCAGCTGTTCTCTGAGGCACAAACTCATCCATGCCATGCCCATTGTAAGTCACTGTCCCCGAACACTGCAAAAGAATTTCACTTCCAAATTAGAAAAAAGAGAAAAGACAGAACTTAATGCAAAAACAAGAAGCCTGGAACGGAAAGCATTGAAAGAAAAGCGAATTGTCTAGAGGACCTTGAGAGCAGGATCAAGCTTCCCAACTAAAGCCAATAAGAGAGTGGTCTTTCCAGAACTTGGAGGACCCAAAAGCAACGTCATCCTGTAATAAATACATGAAAAGAAAAATCAGTGATGAATTGCAGGGCCTCCCAACTTTATGTTTCAGAGGGAAAAATCCAAATCAGGTGTTGATGAGAATTGAGATCGCCATGTTACCTGCCCGGCTTAACGATGCCACTGGCGTCTTTGAGGATGGTCAGCTTTCTCTTTCTACTAGAAAGAATACCCATATAATTCAACAAGCCCTTTAATCAGAATACAAAGTGAAACGTGAGAAAGAATCCTAAAAAAGAAAATCTGTACAATTTTGAAGTAACGAGTATTTTCCAGGTTGCTACCTCAAATATACCAGTAGTGAAATTAAGAACTGTAGGCAAAGCACTGGTTCCTACGAAAGCTTCAGCTTCAATATTTAGATGTTCGAATCTAACTTCAATTGTGGGAAGATCAATGCCAACCCTGAAAAAAATCCAAAGCAAATGATTATTGTTACGGATAATAAAAGACTAGAATAGAGTTCCTACAATTTTATTTAAAGTGTCCGGACGTGCAGAGAGATTGGGTTCGTAATATTTAAAGTAGTGATGACATTAAAATTGAATACTATAATGAAGAAATTAAAATTGATAACAAAAATTTTAATTTTAATGCAAATGGAAATTGATGGTCGGAATTTTCATTTTACATCAAAATAATCTAACTGTCTAAAATTGGTTTCGCAATATTAAAAACAGTGATGACAGAAAAATAAGGTAACGTGAGATTAAAATTCATAGTGGAAATCTTTTTGAATGCTAATGGGTAAAATTTTCATTTTTACAATATAGCAATCAATTGCACCACCAGTTGCTATTTACATACATCACACAATGCAATTAACCCAAAAAGAAGTAGATTTTTGGTGTGGCGTAATTCAAACGGACCCCAAATCTTTCCCTCCAAAAATATTTCTTTCCATTTCTGTTTTCTTGGTAACCAAACATTAAAATATAACAACTTCATACCTATCTAAGCGTTTCCTGAGCTTCAACAAGAATTTCTCATTGTCTTCCTCTGCAACTTTGACCAACCTCTCAAGCAAAGTCCTCCTTTCTTGCCATCCAAGGTCATAAACATCGATTTCATTGGCACCACCTTGAGAGCTGGTCAGTATTCCTTTCCTGAGACGAGCAACAGTTGGTAGTTTCTCAAGTGCAGCCCACTTTAAAGCTTCTTCATCATCCTCTTCTCGAGATGACCTTGAAAAAACTTCCACACCATTGTTTCTCCATATCGAAGAACTACCTGCTCGTAAACTTCTCCTTAAACTACTACTCGCTTTATAAATATCACCACCCTCCATTACCAAATCAATATCAAAACTTTCACGCTCCCAGAGCTCAAATCAAAGAATCAAAAAAAAAAAAGAAGGGGGTTTCCTGTTAAAAACCTAGAAACTCAAGAATTTGATGAATTGAGGAAAAGAAGAAGTTTGGTTTTGTTTTGTTTTGTTATCAGGCTTTGTCTTTGAACCCGGACAAGAAATGTCAAGAGTTTTGAAACTGTAAGAACAGAAGACAAAACCCACTATGAGGTTATGGAAAAACCTGGTGCAAGAAAAGTAAGGTTATTTGTGCCATATATACAAAGTTTGTTTGCAACAACTCTGGCGGCCTTTTCCATGGTGGCTCGTGGGGATTGAATAATTTATGCAGACAAAATCCATTCCATGCCATCTTTTTTGAAATTGAATGGTAACTTATTTGTAAGATTCTTGTCTCCCACTCTTGCCGTGTCTTATTCCTCAGCAAAATTTGGAGTCAACTTTTTCAATTTGTTTTTTTTTTTTTCTTTTTCACGTGCTAATTAGACTAATCCAATTCAAACTATTTCTAACCCCCTTTTCTCTTCTGTTTTGGTTAATGGCCGGAAAACTTTGTAAAAAAAAAAGTAATGAGTGGAAAATTAATAGTAAAAGTTGATATGTTTTTCTTGTGTTTAGAAGAATCCAAAATCATATATTTTTGCTCTTTAATTTATATATTTTGATTTTGTATTTAATAATTTTTTATATATGAAAGTAAATTGATTATGGTTATAATTTTTTTGTATTTGTAATTTCATTAAAAAAAATTAATGGCAAAAATTTATAAACTTTGTTTTAATAGGGCAAATCATAAAAAACCAACATGATATCTATTATTGATAATAAAACGGATATAGACAGATAAAGTATTCTTTCTCCTAGTTCAAGATTTTTTGTAATGTCTCCTTTTTTTTTCTTTTTTTTTTTATAAATTTATATTCATGACCATTACTATGAAGACAAATATTAAGAATTTTTGTTACCCATAATTATTTTAAAAAAATAAGTAAAATTTACGAACAACAAATATATATTAAAATAAGTTTAAACAATAACAATTTTAAAATATATCAAAACTTAAAAAAAAAAAAAAACAATGTTTAAAATTCTAATAAAAATTTATTTATTAAATAAATATAAATACATATAAAATATGAGCACAAAACAAATGATATATTATATTTTCGTCCTCGTACAAGAAGCTTATTTTAAAATTAAACTCATTCTTATTTTTATTTTTTAAATTTAATATTTATATTCATTCTTGTTGAGATTAAAAAAAAAAAAAAAAACTGAATATTTCCCATGAAATTTGTATAAAATTACATCTCTATTATTAGACAATATATTTTTATCGGGAGATCTTTTTGTTATGTCTAGATGTTTAGGTTACATAGTTGCTGACCTATGACATACATTAATTTAAAAAAAATTATACTAACTTCTAGGTAATTTTAAGGAATCGGATTAAAAGCATCAGAGAATTTTAGGGTGAAAAAGGATCAAATCTATGCACGTTTTGGTGGAAAATAGAAGAAAATTCTTGACTTTTTGGACAACTTGAAAACGTAGAAGAAAAAAAAAAAGGATAAAAAATTCTTTTAGAAGTAACTTTTCAAACCGATAGAAAATTACTTCAGATCAGACATGCCGTTATCTAGGTTTTTTTTTTTTTTCTTCTATGATTTTTCGCTGTATCTTGCTTTTTAGTAAGTACATCACATCACAAAGTTGTAAGGTTGAATGTTCAAATGTGACAATTGTTTTTTTTTTTTCTCAGTTTCTTGGTTATTAATTATATATCACATAACATAATTCATCTTAAAATTAGTTTAAATCCAAATCTTAATATAAGTAGAGAGAGATTTATGGAACGACATAGAATTTCAATTATCTCATAAAAACATCTTTAAAATATGACGTTTAATAAATTTATGATTTAAATTTTAATTTATATTTTTATTCTTATGCTGCAATTTTTTTATATCAAAAAATCTTTAGAGGTTAAAATAATCCAAAATTTGTTATATTTTGAATGAGTTCTAGTCGATTTGATCATCTAGAAACAACATCCGAGTTTGAAATAGAACTAAACTGATAAAGTTGAAAATAAAATTCTTTTCCAAAATTTGACAATGAATTGATATTTAACTTATCATAAAAGTCAACCCCACATGTAATAATAACGTGAAAAATTAGCAGACTAGAAAACTGAATATTAAGCAAGAAATATTTTTCAAATCTTATAAAAGTAAATGTAACACCTTTAAGATTAGGCGATAAATGTGACATCTTTCGATCAACATAAGCGTCTACTTGAATACAAATCATATGATTAGGATTTATTTAAGTATAATAAAACGTAAAAGGCACAATCATGAGTGAGAAGAAATCATTATGCAACCAATTCTGGATTTATTAAATATAGTATATATATATATATAATTAAAATTAACTGTATAATTGACTATAATCCTCTTTATTTTCTCAATATTATTATGACAAATGCAATTAATTCTTAGTTAAATAAAAAGAAAAAAATGAGTATGGTCAAGTAATTAAGATTAACTGTTTGTTTCATAGGCATTTTAAGATTCCGACTTCAGAATTGGAATTTGAATCCTAAGTTACATTTTAGAATTTTTGGTATACATATTTCTTTATAAGAAAAGTCATAGCATGAGATAAAAAGAAAAAAATTATAGGTATTAGTGTAAACTTGTTGAAGTTACCTCTTAAACATGGCGGGGGCTCATGAGGTTCATGTTCTGATGTGGAGTCCAATCTCATTTATTGTTAACCAATCAAAGGTGTTTTACCGCAAAAGTTCTATTTTTAATGATATGCGAGGGTTGTTTTTAAAGTGGCGTGAAAAAAAATAGGGGCGATGAATAGAGCAAAAAGAAACCTGAAAAAGAAAAAGAGAAAATAGAAAAAGAGATGAGAAAGCTACTACTTTATCAAAAGGTTGAATGGATATTGATTCATAGTTTGATTGAATTAAAATTTTGTCAATACATTAACAATTCAGTATTTTACATTTTAAACGATAAAAATCAAAGTTGAAGTTTTCTAAAAATAAATTTAGAGTGTATTTGTTGAGTCACTTATTTAATAAAATTTCTCTAATTATTTTTCTAATTGTTGTTTAGCTCTAGTTTTAACTAGAAAAAAATTTTATATGCCTAATATTTGATAGTAAAGATTTTTTTTGTGATTCTTGATTTTTCCTTTTACACTAGAGAATTTTTCACAAAAATTTTAGTGTGCTTTATCTTTGTTGCGTTTTTTATTATTAATTGTTGTCTATTCGCTGTGAGTTTTATTACAATATATTGTTTTTGTGTTATTATATTTGTCACTTTAGACCCAATGATTGGTGTTAGAGTTATGGTTATTTTAAAACATCAATATAGTAGCAACCCTATATATAAGTAAATTTTATTTGCAATTACGGAGGGTGACATAAGTTTCATAATAAAATAACAGTATCAAATTATTTAATTGGAATCTAATGATGGAATATCATTTATATTGCAAATAAATTGCATGAGCCAGTATTAAATGATTTGACTAAACAACAGATATGAAGATGAAAACTGTAAGAAACTAGGTAGAAATATACTAGCCATAATTAGAAATGATGTTAATATCAGTGTATTCTATAATGTAGTACAGAAGACAAAATACTTATATGTTTGAAAAAAATTAACAGCATTGTATAAGGGAAGACAGGCATGAATAAATTTATGCTTGTTAAAAAGTTTACATCTTTACAATATAATAATGGATGATTAATTACAGAACACTTGCGTGATTATCAAGATATATTCAATTGGATGAATACTATAGTGCTTAAATAGATGATGAAATGAAGGCATTTTTTCTTTTTTGGTTCATGTAAAATAGCTAGAATATTCTAGTTGTGACTATTCTTGATTCAGCTTCTAACTATTAGATGACAGTGGAGATGGTAAAGAATAATATGCTTAATGAAGAAATAAAGGAAAAAAGAGTTAGACTCTAAGAATTAAGCTTTTGTCACAGAAAAGAATTGAGGCAAAAACATCGATAAATGTCATAATTCAAAAGGTCGTAGCAAGTTTAGACATAGATCCAAGTTCAAAGATAAGTAAAGTGCTACCACTATGGTAAACTCAATAACATAAAACAAATTGCAAAATCTTAAAGCAAGAGCAAAAAGATAAGAAAGGAAAAAGTTCAAATGATGATATATATTGTAGCAGTGAATTCAAATAGTGATTCAATTACTTTGATTTGTATACATGTGACTATAATCATGTTGGTCATTTAGACATTGAGTGGATAGTTAACATAAAAACGGCATATCATTGTGTTTCCAAGAAAGAGTTGTTTACAACTTACAAAATATGAGACTTTGGTTTTACCAATATGAAAAATAAGAGTATGTCATAAATTATTGGGGTTGGTGATATTATTTTACAACCTAATAAGGTCACATGTTGACTTTAAAGGATATCAGACACATTCCAAATATGAGAATGAATTTGCTTGAAATTAATGTCCTTCATAAGGAATGATATGAAAGTCAATTACAAAATGGACAGTAAAAGCTTTTCAAAATATCTATATGATAGTTGTAAGAGAAAAACAATGTTGCACAAATGTAATTGAATGACAATAAGATAAATACCGTTAAAGATTATGTTTCAGCAAATTTACAGCACAAAAGGCTGGCACATATATATGATAAGGGATTACAGATTTTGATGAGGTAGTCTTTTATTTCCTTGACCAAAGATATGTCTTTTCCTTTATGTGAACAATGTTTATATGGCATGTATCGTAGAATTTCTTTTTGTAAGCGTTCTCAAAGGGAAAAAAACATATTAAAATTGATTCATTTGGATGTATGTAGTACCATTGAAGTTGAGTCATTGGATGATAGTAAGTATTTTGTTACTTTTATTGATGATGTTTCACGTAAAACTTAAAATGTATATATTAAAAAATAAAAGTTAGATACTATAACATTTTCAAAAATTTTATGCTAGGATGGAAAGAATGACAAGGTTGCCCTTAAAGTGTATTCAGACTAATAATTATGGGGAATACATATCCAAAGACTTTAAAGAATATTATTTATAATGGGATCAAGTATAAGATGACAAAACCTGAAACATCATAGCATAATGGTGTAGCTGAAATGATGAACCGCATCATTATGAAAAAAGTCAGATGAATGCTGAGTATGATAAAATTACCAAAGCCATTCTGAGGTA